AAAAATAAATTTTAAGTTTCTAATTTTCACATTTTGTTATCTTGTCAATTGTTTTCATATTTTAATTAATTTATTTTTATTTTTATTTTTATTTTTAGATGCAACTAAAAAATAAAGTATTCACAAAAAAATTGGTAAAAAAAATAATAAATACAAAAAAAAAAGTGTCCTTTTTTTTAAAATTATAATTAATACCTTTTAGCTACATCTAGATTTAGTGAATTAAAGAAAAAGTTGCTTAAAATATTTAAAAAGTTAGTAGAGACAAAATGAATACAGAAAATAAAAAACTCAAAAACTGTTAACCAAAAAAATGATTTAAACTTCTCAAATCGTAAGGCTAAGCCAGGAAATCGAAAAATTCATAATTCGAACCGGTTTAGTCGAACCGGTTTAGTCCAATCGGTAGGTTTGGATTGATTTTTTTTTTTTAAATCTGTGGTTCGATTTTCGTTTGAAAAATTGAAGAATTGATTCCGGATTTAAATTCATAGTTTTAAATTGAAACCGAATCAGATCGTATGTAACTTAAAACTATATACATATCATATAGCCTAATGCATACAATCATAATTTAATGAATGCTTGTTTAAGTTATATTTTGAAAAATCATGGACATATTAATGTATATTTGCTTAATGCTATGTTTTTGTTTGGTGGGCATATTATTATTTTTAAAATTTATGATAGGTTGAATTTTTTTGAAAATATTATATGATTTTTCTTATGAACATATTATGTAAAATTATGGTTCCAAACCAAGTTGAACCGTGTTTAAATGGCTTGGTTCAGATTGGTATCATGATTTAAATGGATTGATTGATTCCAATTTTTATGGAACTATAAACAACGAAATAGTTTTGGTTTTACCCAAAATCGAATCAATTTGAACTATTCTCAGCCCTATCAAATAATGATTTCCTAATGGGTGTGGATCTCTATTTAATGGCCCCCCTTAATTTTGTAGAGAAATCAAATTATATTAAATAAAATATTAACAATATAAATAAGAGAAATTTGGTGATAAATTCAATTGAAGGAGTCAATAAGGTATTAGGCCTAATAGATATTTTTTTTTTGGTGAGAGGTCTACCATTTGTAAAATAGTTTGGTGAGAAATTCTTGTATGTTTTGAAAACATTTTGTTTTTAATTTTACCCTTAATTTATTTGTTGACTTTTTCTATCTGTTGACTTTCATTGACTATTTGTTCAAATTTTTTTCATATCTGTTTAAATTTTTTTCCTATTTGTTCAAAATTTTTAAATATCTGTTCAAAACTTTCCCTAGTTGTTTAATTTTTTACTCTATCTGTATAATTTTTTTTAATCTTTTCAATTCAAATTTCTCCTAATCTGTTTAAATATTTGTTCAAATAAAGTTCTATCTGTTTAATTTTTACTAGAGCCAACCAAACCCTAGTTGTTCAATTTTTTTTATATGTTCAAATCTCTCTCTCTCTCCCTCCCTCCCTGTTGCAATTTGTTTTTTCTCATCATCATCATCGTCAACAACAACCAACAATCAACCATAGATAATAAAGAAAAAAAAAGCAAAAAAAGAAAAAAGAAAAAACAAAGAGATCATCATCATCTTCATCAACAACAGATCTAACACAGATCTGAGCTCAAATAAAGAGAGTGAGAGACAGGTGCAATCGACATATCTGTGTTTGTACAAACAATATGTACTTGAAGCTCTCTTTGAAGCTTCCAATCTGTTTGTACAAAACAAAAATCATGAGTAAAGCACATCAATTCATTCTCAAACATACACACATGGACGATCCATTATCAATACAAAACGAAGCTACCAAATTTAAAAAAAAAAAACCCAAAAATAGATCTTGTAGGGGGAGAGAGAGAGAGTAACGGAGAAGCTGAGGAGAAGACGAGGTGGGACGGTGGTGTCGGGGGAAAGGAGATGAAGAGAGAAGATAGAGAGAGAGAGAGAGAGAGAGAGACGTGTTCTGGGTCTATTGTTGGCGACAGCGAATAGTGTGGTGGAATGAATTGGGTTTAAATGAGGCATTTTAGTCACTGAGCAAACGTATGTGCCCAGAGTTTTGGGGAAAAAAAAATAAATTAAATTTTGCACTTTTAAATCGAGTGTCTTATAAATAATTTTTTTTTAGAGTTCTTGCTTGCTTGATGGGGGGATGAGACCCATCAAAAGCAATGTGCCATTGCCCCTACCATCAATGGACAACAGGCACATAGTCATGCTGAAATTTCTAAACCGCCTAAATACATGAAAAATAATAAAAACCTTTTAATTGAACAGCAGAACAAAAGAACTAATAAAATTAGAAAATTAGTGTTTGAAATTTAAATTTGTGAAAAAAGAACATAAAAAAATATAAAAGAGAAATAACATTACTTGTAAGTAAAAAATAATATTTTAAACTAATATAGTAATATGCAATTTTCTTCTAACTCAACTAATAAATAATAATAAGAAAGAACAATTTTCACATGGAAAGCTAAAACTAATCGCTCTCCATTGAATTCACGTTGAATGAGGATCAAGCGCTGGAACGTCCACAATCTACAACTATACAACCAATGGTTATCGTCCATATGAGTACAGGTCATCAGTACGGAGAACACAATATTAAATCACCAAATACTATTGAAAACGTGGCGTTCGTTTATTTGTCCAATTTATTTTGGAGTCGAAGCTCACTTTTCAGCAGATTAGGCCTCTTTCTAACAGCATCACACCTTCAAGCAACGGAGAAGGGATAGATTTGTAATTCCATTAGTGGGGACCGCTTCGACACGTGAGCTGCGATTTCTGAAAATCTCTCTCTCTCTCTCTCTCTCTAGCTCTTGGTTCAGTGACACCACATGTCTCTCATTCTTCGATCATTTTCTCGGGAAAGTTAGTCTTTCTCTCTCTCTAAACACACACTCCACAGATTTCAGAGAAAAAGATACTTTTGTTTCGTTTTCCCTCTGAAAAGTTTGATATTTCTCACAAAATTTTCCTTAGCTCTCTCCCATTTTCTCTCTGTTTCGATCTAAGAAAGTCCCATTACAGACTGATGAATGGTAATTGAACTCGGTTTGAATTTGAATCTCCAGCATTGAGATCACATCTTTCTCTCAAAGGTACCTACTTTTTCTCTCCATTTTCTTGCATTTTCCCTCTCTATATAGTCTTCAATAACAAATATATATATATATATATCTGTGTGTGTGTGTGTGTTCGCTTTGTATATATTTTCTAGAGAAACAAAATGCATTTTCTAGGGTTCCAAACGACGATTACTGAACTAAGTTTTTCAGTGTGTGTTCTAGGGTTTCTTGAAGGCACTCATTCCGTAGAAAATTGTGACATCTTCAGTGTTATTATTATTTCTTAGTTTTGATCTAAATTAAAACAGAAATCAAATCCTTTGTTTACTTGTTCTCTCATTAAATAACTCATCAGTCTTCGCTTTTTCAGTTCTGGTATTTCACGATCTCTTCGTCAAGCCTCTGCAACTCTCCACTTTTCAGTAATCTCTGATCATCTTCTTTTACAACTCTATATACATACATACATATATATATACATATACATATAAAAAGAGGTTTTTCAGTGTGTATTCTAGGGTTTCTTGAAGGCACTCATTCCGTAGAAAATTGTTACATCTTCAGTGTTATTATTATTTCTTAGTTTTGATCTAAATTAAAACCGAAATCAAATCCTTTGTTTACTTGTTCTCTCATTAAATAACTCATCAGTCTTCGCTTTTTCAGTTCTGGTATTTCACGATCTCTTCGTCAAACCTCTGCAACTCTCCACTTTTCAGTAATCTCTGATCATCTTCTTTTACAACTCTATATACATACATACATATATATATACATATACATATAAAAAGAGAGTTCAGAGTTCATGTAAAGGTTGATTTCTATTTGAGTGTGTCTAGGTCTTTTTTGTTTTCACAGCCGCAATATTTAATTCCTTTCTATTCATAGAACTGACTTCAGACATTTTTTCTACTTTTTCGGAACCCTAGAAAACCGACAATCTGCATCTCCAACTTTTCTTCCATACCATTAGCGATTCACGTAGATGGTCACTATCACACTTTTTCTCTACAAAAACTCAACCTTTTGTGATTTTTTTTTTTTTTTTTGGTTGTGATTTGTAGTTTAATTAATCAAACTAAATTCGATACGTGTTTTGTCAATTTTAATCTTCATTTTGTTTGTAGATCCTAGACATGAAAAAAATATATCACCGAAAGCGATCCGTACATGCCATTCACAACACTGTAAGCTCTCTCTCTCTCTCTCTCTCTCTCTCTCTCTCTCTAAGACCTGTCATTCTCACGCATGCTTCTCCATATCAAAAGATTCGTTCTTTTTTATTTTTTATTTTTCTGTTACTCGATCTGTTTTGTGATACACACACGCGTCTTAATTATTAGATAAGTCCACACGCGCTCTCCAGAGGAGAGAAAACCAGTCCAATAAAAAGTTGCAAATGTGGAATATAAAGCACATAAACTCACTTACTCACGAGCTGTGGATCCAACAATCAGCTTTTACGTTATCACGAAGAGACAAAAAGCGATTGCTTCTTATCATGATTACGAACCATGAACCGCATGAACGGACCATATTATCGTCTCTATAATATATACACTAATTCTCTCTCAAGGCAGAGAGAGAAAGACGGCGTGTGTAGTATGTAATATATGTAGAGAGAGAGAGAGAGAGAGAGAGGAGAGTAGTGGGGGTGTTGGTGTGATAGTGGTTTTGTTTTGCAGGAAATCATGTATTTGAAAAGGCAGGAACAAGGCGTCGACGGCGCACAGACACCACCTTTGGCCAGACATGTACTACCCACATCCGACTGTACCATCCCCAGCCACAGTAACATAGGTTTCATCCTTACCCTTCATCTCCATTCTATTTCTAGCCCCATATGTATCGCACATCCATAGCTTCATCTCTCTCTCTCTCTCTCTCCATAGCGAAGCACAATTTTTCAACTCAAATAGAATGGCTAATTTGTTCTTATGGCCATTCACAGAAACCCAAGAGATAGAAGTGGGTTCTGTGTACGAGATTGATCATACCAAGCTACCACCCAGAACCCCAGTTCAACTCAAGTGCATCCGGGTCGTTATGGTAAGAAAACGATCAGAATACTATGTATATGCATTGATATATATATATGTGGGATTTTATGTTGTTTGGTAAAGATCTATGGGTTTATTTATTTATTTATTTCAGGTGAGTGAGAAGACGGAGTTGAATGTTTCGGTGAGATTTCCAAGCATCGAGTCGCTTCAAAGGTATTTCAGCAACAGAACCAGAGAGATGTACCCTGAGCTGGACGAGAGGTTCGTCATGGGGACAACCCTCGCCGAGAAAGTGCTTTTTCGGAAAATCCCATCTCAAGAATTTGCAGAGAAGAAGCAGTCAAATGAGTTCTGGCTGGAAATCTGCAACTCGGTTTCTGGGTTTGGAGATGTGATTTCGAGGAAGTCCGGCACATGTGTGTCAGAGCTCAAATGCAACGGAATGATTCGCTGGGGTGTACGCCGCCAAGTCAGGTTTATCGGCAAGCATAGAGAGAACCCTCAATCTTCTTCAAGCATTGTCAGAGGAGCAAAGGAAGCAAATGAAGAAGAAGAAGAGGAAGAAGCTGAAGTTGAAGAAGAAGAAGAAGAAGAAGACGATAAAGAAGCTGTGACAGAAGAAACCAATGAGATTGGTAAGAGAAAGCGTAGCTCAAGACTTGTTCGAAATGCGAAGAAAGTTAAGCGTGAGAAGCGAAGGCAGATCAATAAGCCTAAGACTAAGAACAGTTGTAAGCAAATAGCAGTACTGAAAAACCCTCAAGACAGGTGGTCTGCAGATAGGTGAAGAGTGAAAGCGACTAAACCCTTATTTTCATTTGATTTGTACAACATTTATCTTTGCTCGTTACACATCTATTTGTCTACTAATGCCTGAATTGTATATGTGAAAAGGTACAAGCTAGCGGAGAGAAATCTTTTAGAGGTGATGAAGTCTAAGGGTGCTGTGTTTGGGAGCCCAATTCTCCGGCCAGAACTAAGGGCGGAGGCTCGCAAGCGAATTGGGGACACCGGTTTGCTGGACCACCTCCTGAAGCACATGGCTGGGAAGGTGGCACCTGGTGGGTCTGACCGGTTCAGGCGACGGCACAATGCAGAAGGAGCAATGGAGTATTGGTTGGAAAGTGCTGACCTTGTTGATATAAGAAGGGAGGCTGGGGTTCAAGATCCTTATTGGACACCCCCACCGGGTTGGAAGCAAGGGGATTGCCCGACTCAAGACCCTATCTGTGCTATGGAGCTGAAACAATTGAAGAAGGAGACCACCAAATTAGAAAGGTATTATAAGAAACCCAGAACTTAAATTTTTGTTCTTTCTCTTAGAGGAAGAAAAATGTTGCTATTTGGCTCTCTTTACATTGTTGCTCAATGGTCGAATAAACAGAGATATGGAGGAGATGGTATCTAAGAAACAGATGGACGAAGAATTGGCAAAACTAAGAAGGTAAATGAGCTACCACAAGTTTTATTTACACTAACGAGAAATTAATGGTTTTGTTGCTAGTTTTGACCTTATTTATTGCGTGAACAGAGAGATGTTGGAGTTGCTATCAATTAAACAGAATGAGGAAAGTCAAGCAATTGTAGTCTCAAATCCTTCCGCGACCAGTCAGAATTTGGATCTTGATACTTCTTTGTTGGTTCCTTTCAAATCTGACCTTGATAGTTCATTTATCACATTGGTACGAAATCAATGAATCAAGAGCAATTTCAGATGCATTTATCTTTGAAGCAGTTTATATATATGAATGAATCATTCATTAACTTTCTCTTGTTTCTTTCTTTAATAGGAAAAGTATAAGGAACAGCTGATGGTTATCTCAGAATACGTGAGCAGAATTGAGGTATCTAAGAATTGACATTATTATCTTTTCAATTCCACTAGATTATCTTTCAAATGCTTCAAATGATAGTGCAAGTTCTGAATGATTTATTTCATGTTGTGGGCTTTCTTAAATAGTTGCAGTACGGTTGCTGATACATTAAATCTTTTGAATTTAAAACATGTAGATCAATTTCATTTTGAGGTGGGTCATATGATATGAGATTTAAATCTTTGCCACATATTTAAATTCCGAACAATTTTTTAGAACTTTTTTGATAGCTAAAGGAAGGACTCTTTGCTTATAGTAAAACTATAAGGGCATGTTTGATTGGGTGGATTAGAGTATGAGATTGAGATTATTAATCCGTGGGCCCAATTATCCTATGTTTGTTTTAACATTTTGGTTTAGGATTATTAATCCAATGGATAATTAATCTAACAAATTTGTAGGATTATTAGTAATGAGGTAGGGGTGAGATTATTAATCCAATGGATATTAATCCAATTGGATAGTGAATACTACACTAATTTAATAGAATTATTAATACTTCGCTATTAATCTTGTGAATCAAACATGACCTAAGAGTAGTCTTAACTTTCTAATGAAATATAAAGAAACTGCTTTTTGAGTGATAGTGTTAAACACATAAGCTATGATATTGGTGATGATTGGACTTCCAGATAAACTGCAATATGTGTTTTTCTTTTGTGTGAAATACAACTGACTCTTTAACCAATTGGGAACTCTAGCCTCTAAATCTTCAGTGATGACTGATGACGATAATTAGTTTAGTCCATTATTTGCAGGTTGGTATGTTTCATATATGGGGCCGATTCCTGTCCAAATTAAGATATGGTTAAAAAAAACTTATAATTTATGCTATGCCTGTTGATGTATGGTATAGGAGAGTTGCACATTGCATTATTTTTGACATACACACATACATATATAGAATCAAAATCATCATGACATGGATCATGATGAAGATGTTAATATGCATATAGCATGGCATTTATGTACTATGGTCTCAGGAAGAGATAAAAAAGCTAAAGTCCAAGGTGGGAGAAGAAGAAACAAAGTTGGACTCATCAGCATTAATGGTGGCGACAGAGTGTTGTACTGAAAAAGAGAAAAAGAAAGTGGGAGAAAATGGCAAACAACAGGAAGTGGGAACAGAAGGAGCTGATAATCAGAGCAAGACAAACACAGCAGCAGAAAGGACAGCAGCAGAGCAAAAAGCAGCAAAGATACAGAGGCTGAAGAGTGGGTTTAGGATCTGCAAACCCCAGGGGACTTTCCTTTGGCCAAACATGGCCAGCAACAACAACAAAAACAGCAACGCCAATACCAGCATGTTGTCTTCTTCTCAGGTTGTGGTCCAGGTTGAAGATCTTTTAGTGGTCCCAACCCCACCTTCAGTCTCTTCCTCCACCGCCTCTGCTCCTCCTCAACTGCCCTTCCACCGCCACCACCACCACCACCCATCTTCCCCAGTTAAGCCCTTGGCCGAGAGGCGAGCTGTTACTGTCACAGTATCTGCCATTGGAAACCCCAATGTCTCTACTACCACCACCACCACCACCACTACCACCTCCACCATCACCAACAAGACCTCCTCCACTCTCCTCAACCTCAATGACTTCCCCACCACTAACCCTGGAGATGGATTCTGTGGGACCCCATCCACACGCCAAACTGTTAACAACACTACTGTAAGTACTAATCCAAAGCATATATGTACCTAAAAAAATTGGTGCAATTTTGTTGATGTTATATCTATTGCTTTCATTTTGTTTATGTACACAGTTGACACCTTCCAAGGTTGAGGGTGAGATGGGTCGTCCATGGGAGGTTGTGGGAGGTAAAAGCAGTGGGAAGCGGACAGAATCAAATCAGCAGCAGCAAGAGGAAGGGGGAAGCTCCTCCACCTCCGCCGCCTCCACCACGTGCTTGCCAAAAGGAGTGGGGACCTGGCTGGCTCTGGCTACTCCCACCCCTGCACTCGATGACTCTACTCGCGGATAAACCTGGTTTCAATTTCAAGTTTCAACATGTAAAGGGTTTGCTCTTTTTTTTAAGCTCATTAGAAATGTTCTTAGATAGATTACTATGACTTGTCTTTATTTTTAGGTCTATCATGAGAGGGCTTTGCTGTTTTGGGTGGGTTGATATACTGATTGTTTGGCATCCAAGAAATAGCTGAGAGTGCAAAACAGGAATTTTACATATGTATGTTGGTGACCCCTAAATATGTTAATGGTACTAGCTAGCTTTACTTTGTAGGGGCACCAAATATGTTAATGGTACTAGCTAGCTTTTGTCCATATGATTGTTGGTGCTTTGGCTTTCTTCTTGAGTTTGATATCTTGTAAAGTATAGGCCATTGGTGCTCTGGGGTTTTTTTCTTTTGTACCTTAGTTGAGTAACATTTCTAGAACTATATCTATGCTTTAGATTAGGGATACGGTCCTCTCATACATCCCTTAATTGAGGCCTCCCGATTTCATCCCTAATAACGTGATGAAGACTCATGTGAAGCAGTCCTATTCTCTTTGATTCCACATCATTAGAAGTGGAATTAGGAACTAAATTAGGGGATGAATCATTTTTTTAGGACTATGCCAAATGCGTTGCTTCAAAATGGATTTGAGTGGGTCAATTTGGGTTATGCCCCTACATTGGAAAAGTCCAAATCATCTTATTAGCAAGTAGGTTGAATTTGGACAGATTTATACGGAAAAGGAAAATTATATAAAAGTTCAGTTTCTATATTCACTTTCTAAACTCAATGATGTGAAAGTATTTTTTTTGATCGGTAATGATGTGTAAGTATGATAATTGATATTTAGAGAAGATATAAGAGAATTATATTAAATATTCTAATAAATTATCACATCATTAGATTTGAAAAATAAATTTAATTTTGAACCTAAATAACATCACCCTTCATATTAACCCAATTATACAACTTAATCTATTTTAAAATAAAAGGTTGATATTATCAAGAGTTACTATTTTAAGTGAGTTTACCAATATTATCAACTTTCTATTAGTCATTGGTTGATATAATCAAAATTAGCTATTGGTTGTAATTTGTTTGTTCGGTTTGGAATTTAAAGACCATGAAATTCAACTTAACTCATTTTAAAGTAGAAAGTTGATACTTGATATATATGTATGGTAAATTTTAAATAATCCTTTTATGACTATCAAAATAAGCTTCGGGTTTATATTTTCACCTTATTTAAAACTTCAAAAAATACATAGGTTTTATTTAAATTAAAATGCTTATAATTTCGAGTTTTGCCTTCTATTTTTTAGCAAGACCTAACGCCACCTGTGTTCTACTTGTTGTGGAATTGTGTACTTAAATCAAATAAATAGATTTATATTGAACAACCACTTTGAATTTCAGAAAAAGAACATATTAAAATTTATAGAAATTCATAATAAAATAAAACTAGTAGTAGGAAGCAAACCGAAACCTGTGTGATACCACAGTGTCCTTAAAACAGATTAGCCGCCTCACCATAGGTGCTGGAGGTATGTTGACTTCTGTCTCACAGGATACAATGGTCAAAACCAGCTAATGCAGAAGTACCTTTTGAATAGTTTCAGCGAACTTGATAGTGGTTGCACTATCTCTAACAAGAACCAAAGAAGGGACTAACAAAAGAAGATAGTAAATTTTTCTTTGGTGTAAAACCATCTTTAACTCTTTATCAAAACACCATCTCTATTTTCCATCAAAAAAAAAAAAAACTCTCAAAACTTATATATATTTCAAGTTGGAGGGGAAAGGTCTCTATTTATACAAGTAGGGGAATCTCTAGCCATAAAGGCTATACATCAATAGGCTCATCAAATGCCATTAACCATGGCCATCAATTCTAGCCATTAGGGTTAGAGTTACAAAAGTTGAAAATCTATGGCCACTAATATGGTCATCAACTTCATCATCAAAAGATGAGAGTTACAAAGGTCTTAACCTCTCATGTGCTTAATATATACAAATAAATATGTATATAATGATGTTTGAATAAACCAACTAGATGGGTCACACAATGGATACCATTGTTGGGTCACAATCCGATCCAAACCCAATTCTCAAACACATACACAAGCTAAGCCCAACACAACATAACTTAGCTCAAGTTTAAGATTAAGTCTAAGTCTAAGTCCAAGACCAAGACCAAACCCAACACATGCACAAGCACAAGTACAAGTCTAGGCCCAGTCTAAACTAAGACTAAGTCCAAATCTAAGCCCAACTTTTATTGATGTTCACTTTATGAGACAATTCTCATTCTCATTCACAACTCAATAGTTTCGGCTCATTATTTTTATATTGTAATCTTCTCACTTGAGAGAATGCAAAACTACTCAGACCCACCTCAACCGGCGGTTGGGTCCCACTTTAATTTCGAATTAAAGTTGCCAAAAAATCATTATTTTCCAACAATCCCCCACATGAATAAAATTGACCAAATAAAGAAAACGGACAATGCTTTACAACAAAGACTCAGAGAGAGAACACACAGAATAATCCTGCCTCAGAAAAGGTAGCTGTTGGCCTTGAACCTTTCGTAGTGAAAGCCTATCGGATTTACTGGCTGACCAGTGAACGTGATGTCTTGAACTGTTCTGCCGTTTGTGTAAATCGAGACAATAGACTTCACATAGGAGTTACTCCAACCATTATTCTTGTTCTCACTGGTGTGTCCGGTCGATCCAAACCCAATTCTCAAACACATACACAAGCTAAGCCCAACACAACATAACTTAGCTCAAGCTTAAGATTAAGTCCAAGTCTAAGTCCAAGACCAAGACCAAACCCAACACATGCACAAGCACAAGTACAAGTCTAGGCCCAGTCTAAACTAAGACTAAGGCCAAATCTAAGCCCAACTTTTATTGATGTCCACTTTATGAGACAATTCTCATTCACACCTCAATGGTTTCGGCCCATCATTTTTATATTGTAATCTTCTCACTTGAGAGAATGCAAAACTACTCAGACCCACCTCAACCGGCGGTTGGGTCCCACTTTAATTTCGAATTAAAGTTGCCAAAAAATTATTATTTTCTAACAATCCCCCACATGAATAAAATTGACCAAATAAAGAAAACGGACAACGCTTTACAACAAAGACTCAGAGAGAGAACACACAAAATAATCCTGCCTCAGAAAAGGTAGCTGTTGGCCTTGAACCTTTCGTAGTGAAAGCCTATCGGATTTACTGGCTGACCAGTGAACGTGATGTCTTGAACTGTTCTGCCGTTTGTGTAAATCGAGACAATAGACTTCACATAGGAGTTACTCCAACCATTATTCTTGTTCTCACTGGTGTGTCCGGTTTGGCCCTAGGACACAAGCCTGGTTCAGTGAGCGTTTTTAAAGAATTCAGCCTTGTTAATTCTTAAAGAAGCAACCCCACTTCGCACTCACATAGGTGACCTACATAAGGTATCTCTCTATACCACAGTTGACTATTCACAACACTTAGGTCATTAAAAGCATCAACTTAACCTGCCACCCCATAGGATATCCCTGTATAAAGGAATGAGCATGAGGGTTTACCTCCATAGTGACTCATCCGTTACACGCAGTTAGGTTGTCCCTTTGAACCTAGATCTTGGGATCTCCAGTCAACTAGGTTGGGTATTCCATTCCGGTAACACTACTCAAGGCCTTAACCTCATTCCTCTCGACAACGTTTCTACAAACTCTCGAGTTAACCCTTTGGTTAGCGGATCTGCAATGTTGCCTTTAGACTTTACATAGTCTAAAGAGACAACTCCATTTAGAGAGTAGTTGTCGTATGGAATTATGTCTATGAAGGATACGTCTAGACTTTCCATTATATATATGACTCTGTGCCGTCCAATCACCGATTAACTATCACAATAAATATAGATAGCAGGTACAAGTCTCGACCAACGTGGAATATCTTTAACGAACTGGCGAAGCCATTCAGTTTCTTCAGTTGCCTTATCCAAAGCAATAAAATCAAATTCGATCACTGATCTCAATATACACGTTTGCTTAGAAGATTTCCAAGACACGACTGCCCTTCCGAGGGTAAACACATAACCGCTAGTGGATTTGGAGTCCTTTATATCAGATATCCAATTAGAGTCACTATACCCCTCTAGTGCCACTATAAATCTGGTATAATGCAGCCCATAATCCCGGGGTGTAGCGTAGATAACCTAACACCCTCATAATGCCTCTCCAATGAGTGACATTTGGATTACTCCTGTATCTACTAAGCCTGCTAATAGAGTAGGCTATATCCGGCCTTGTACAACTCATCAAATACATCAAACTTCTAATGACCCAAGAATATTCTAGCTGAGAGACACTCTCACCATTATTCTTGGTCAAGTGTAAACTCACGTCTACCAGTGTCTTAGACACGCTTGTATCTAATTTACTAAGTTTCTCAAGTATTTTCTTAACATAGTGAGATTGAGAAAGTACAATACAACTAGATGTTCTGGTAATCTCAATACCTAGAATGATATCTGCAAGGCCCATATATTTCATGTCAAACTTTGAGTTTTACATTCTCTTGGTAGTTTGAACCATTTCATCATTACTACTAACAATGAGTATGTCGTCTATGTATAGATACAAAATGACATAACCTCTGTTAGTGTCTTTAACATATATGCACTTGTCACATTCATTGATTCTAAATCCATTTAACAACATAGCGTTGTCAAACTTCTCATGCCATTGCTTCGGCGCTTGTTTCAAACCACATAATGATTTGACAAGCTTACAGACTTTCTTATTTTTCCTTAGAGCTGAAAACCCCTCGGGTTGTTCCATGTAGATTTCTTCATCTAAAACTCCATTTAAGAAAGCTGTCTTTACATCCATCTGATGTATCTCTAAACCACGTAAAGCGGCTATTGCAATTACCATGCGAATGGATGTAATCCTTGTCACAGGTGAATACGTATCAAAGTAATCCAGGCCTTCTCTCTGCTTGTATCGTTTGATAACTAGCCTAGCT